TGCTACTCCAGTACATGTTTTGTGAAAGATGGGCGAATCGGTCCCGCGTCATGAGCTGGCTGAAGCATATTGTTAAAATCGCACCCTCGTCAGTCGTTTATCAATGACCTTCGCTTTTTTTCTTTGATTGGCGCGATAGTTCTAGCGATAAGTAGTCGAATTAACGCATAGCTCTCTACCCGAAATATTCGGAATTGCAAGTATTTGCAAGTGATCTCATCCTTTGTTAGCACCTGGAGTTCTGGATGCTTGCGTTAACTAGCTTGCTGCTTTTCGTGCAGGGCGGCTACGCGAGACTCCAGATTCTTCACCACAATAGCCATTACTTTGACCGACGATGTCGTCCCGCATTTGAGGAGAATGGCAGCTGTCCTCGTTGTCCTATGTAACGAGGTACAATCCAGTGTGCCCCACGTTACATAAAGAGTGACCCGTCACTCTTGTGGACACCTAGTACATGGTACCAGGTGCTCTCAGAGCCAGTCAGGGCATGCCTACTTAGCTCCACTATGTAACCTTTAGTTTGTATGGAGCCCAAGCTAACTTTACTTATAAATACATCAGTCTTACATCTACTCTTCTTAGTAGCAAACCGTTCCCACTAAGGCCGGAAACACGTGGACTAACGTTCACTCGGGTAGTAAATACCCTTAAGCATTTCCTCTGTGCAAGGTGTGTGTGACCCCGTCACATCCTAGATAGGCCAAATTTGTTAAAGAGGAATATTATTGTCTAAATTTAACGGTGTTCAATTTTAGTATTACCCAGTAATTTAGTACTACTACAATTGCAATGTTTTATAATACTCAAGTGCTAGTAGTATTAGTTTTGTGAACGGATATAATATAATAGTTTGGCGAAAAATCATGCAATTACTACTATCGATCCCTGAGAACTGCGAATCACCCGGGCGTCTGGGCACGGGTCCCCAATTTCGCTCATTTCAGCCTTATTTTGTCACTCGTTGTCATTAACCAGCACCTCGGAGCCATCCTAGAAAACAAAATTTAGGATCGATATGAACGAAATACTGGAGAGCTGAGAAGTCGTTACCTGCATTCCGTAGTAGCTCACTTCTGCGTTGTCCTCGTCTAGCAGCATCGGTAAACTCTACCGACGATTAAACACCAAGTCAGTGGTCACAACATAAAAACAATAAGCCTAGGATACACACTTACTCTGGAGTCGGTACGGAAGGAAAGCACTTGAGCAGGGACTTGGACGCCGAATTTCGTCTCGATGAGTACTTTGAGCTGCGATACCTTCATCTGTTGAGGGATTTTCTTGACTATAGGTTCGAAACCAGTCGCTTGCATTGACATTGGGATGATGCTGACTTTAATGAGACTCGACGCCAACTTCCTTGGACCAGCCGTAGACCCACTATCCGCAGTGTAGCCATTTTGATCAATGGAGATCTCTGGATGCAGCTCTCGCAAGCGAGTGAAGCGTGGATGAGCTGCTAATACACGCCCATATTCGGTCGTATCTTCGCCGATCACAGCCAGTTCGTGCAAGATTCGCTTCAGATAGAGTTGTTCTGCTTCCTTGCGCTCTTTCTCGCGGACTGGACTTGCGTTAAACACTGCGATGTGGTCGGTTCTTGCAACAACCAGCAATCGAGCTTCGCCCAGACTCATCTGCGTCGTCAATGGGTTCTTTGAGAAGCGTAGAGTATCCAGCAGAGGAAAAGCATTCAAAGCGTCAATAGAAGTCCACGAATCGACCAGATTCTCACTCAGCGACAGCGTCGTAAGCTGCTGGAACGAGGTTGGCTTCACGTCAGCCACGAGCGTCACGATCCGATTCCCGTGTAAGAAGAGCTGACTCAAGTTCGGGAACTCCCCAGCACCTTGCAGCACTTTGCTCCATGATTTCAAGCGGTTGAGACTCAAATCCAACACCGACAGCGTCTCCAACCAGCCTCCAGTTGGCTCCCACTCTGTCAGCTGGTCGTCTTCGTACTCGTTGCCTACTACATGCAGCTGTTCCAGCTTGGGGAAGTGGCGTGTGATGATCGCTCCCACATTTTTCCATGATAGCAGAGTGTAACTTAGCACCAGCACCTTCAAATTCTCAAAAATTGCTAGTTTGCTACTGTCATTTTCTTCCTCAATTGTCAACTTATTCCCGCTTAGAATCAGCGTCTCCAGTAGCGGAAGTTCGCGGATGATAGCAATTATGTCACTCCACTTGCTGAAAAGGTTCCTGGATAGGTCCAGTTCCGTTAAATTTGGGGCTAATTCCCCCAGTCCTTGTCCTCCTAACTCGACAATTTGACAGCTGGAAAATGAAATTTTCTCGATAGTTTGCAGCGTTTGCTGGGTGCTGAGCTTCTTGGCTCCCACGAATTCAATGGGTTTCTCGCTGCCCAGCGTCGTGCCTACCTCTCCGGCTACCACCACGTCACCTGGAGTTCCTTCCTCTGACTTGGAATATTGTTCTTTGTTAGAATATCTCTCATGCAGTCGCTGCAGAAGCGAACTTCGTTCTGCTGTCTTGTCAAAAATTGAAGCTTTCACGAACGAGCATTTGTAGCTCACTGGACTTCCGTGTCCGGACACTTTGCGGCCTGGAGGGCCCGAGTAATGCACCACGCGCTCTCCACTTGGCAGCTCGACGCTGCCGTCGTTCTTGCCGCGACCCCACTCGTCCCACTCGATGCCGTAGTACAGCGTAGATGCATTTTTCGATGTCGCCACGGGACCAACGTAGCGGACGGTGCCCAATGAGCCAGAGCCGTCGTCCACCCGGTCTCCAACCATGAGGTCCATTTTTCAAAATCTGAGATTAAAGAGATAGAATCAAAAATAATTAATATTATCAGTTTCTTGAGCAATGTTTTGAAAAAAAAAAGATTTTCGTGACTCAATAAAATTTAAAAGGGATTTGTAAATTAGTACTTCGAAGTACTTCGAGGTAACTAAATATCAAATATCAAAAGAAAATTAAAAGAGCAAGCATAATTGATTGCAAAAGAATCATATTTTTAGATAATACGTCACTATCTCCTTCTCTAAAATCGTGGGAACGCGTGTGCGTCTCGCTTGGCGGTCTTGACCTCGATGTCTGGAGTGATAATGAGCGTGCTCGCCAATTCTGCCAACGCCTCCATTTCGGCGTACTGCTTGGCAGAGATGTACTTGTGCGGCTTATAGTCGGCTGCACAAATGGTGGCCACTACGGCACTGTCGGGTGCTCGGATGGGGAACCCGGCGTAGAATCGAAGCCCCGTTTGGCTCACGAAGCCCATGTGACTGAAGCGGATGTCGTTCAATGCGTTCTTCACTACCAGTGGACGTTCGTGGTAGATGGTGTACGAGCACATGGATTCCTCACGAGGAATGGACATTCCGATAGCCCCACGAGGGTGCAGACCAACAACGTACTGTGTGGACTGATCAATCATCGTCACGTATCCAATGGGGCAGTTCAAGTTAGCAGCAGCGATCTGGCCCAGCATATTGAGTGCACCACGGTCGTACGTGGGGCTCAAGGCACCGGAACTGATAACATACTGCAGTCGTCGTCGCTCTTGAGCTGGCAGTGGCTTAGGAGGCAACGGGTGAGACGGAGACATCGTCTGACTGCCATCGAACTCGAGCTGGTAGTCACGTTCCAGTGGAGCGATGGAGAACTGCGACTCGTCTGCACCTGCGAAGTTCCTTCTCGTGTCTCGCAGCGTAGCGCGTAGAGTTCGCTTCAGGTGGTCCTCGACGTCTGCACGAAGTTGCGCTACGATGGACTCGTCGAATTGGGCCTGTTTGAACCGAGACTGCTTGAATTGAGACTGACTTTGGCTCAGTTGGCTCTGCGTGAGCTGAGACTCGTGGAATTGGTATTTTGGCTGGCTCAGTTGGCTCTGTGTGAGCTGTGTGTCCTGGGAACTGAGACTGGGGATTGGCTTAGCTGGCTCTGTGTGAGCTGCGTGTCCTTAAATCGCGTCTGCGATTGACTGAGCTGACTCTGCGTGCTCTTGAATCGACTTTGAGACTGGCCTAGCTGGCTCTGAGTTAGCTGGGTGTCTCTGGACGATCCCAGTTGCGAGTGACTGAGCTGACTCTGCGTGAGCTGAGTATCTCTGGTGTCTCGGAATCGAGTCTGGGACTGACTAAGCTGACTCTGCGTTAAGCTGGGTATCTCTCGTGTCTCTAAAGTGAGTCTGGGACTGACTGAACTGGCTTTGGGACTGCTGGAATTGGGACATACTGAGCTGACTCTGAGCCAGCGGGTGCTTGAAGTCCACCTGCGACTGCGACTGACTGAGTTGGCTTTGACTCAACTGCGACGACTGGTTCAGCTGCGACTGCGTGAGTCGAGATCGCTCGAAAAGACTCAGCTTGCCCGATGCTTTAATCTGAGAGTTCACCAGGCGGTCGAGTGTCTGCAACGCTCTAGAGCGCTCCAACACGTTCTCGGGGTACAGATCCGAAGAAACGTCGTCGGGGCTGCCGTTGCTGTCGAACTCCGAGCACGCGACAGTGGAGCCGATACTCGCGTACGTGTCGTTCTCGTCCCGACGATCGTACTCGCACTCGCTCTCGTATTCCTCGTCAAAGTTTTCGTCGTACTCTCCGTCGTAGTCGTCAATCACCGCTGGACCAAGAGCCACCATAAAGTCCTCGTCCTCGAAGATACACGAGTCCACATTCGTGATACAGCGCACGCACAGTCTCTTCTTGGTCACCTCTCCGACGTTAGCTTCCACCTCGTACTGCTTGGAGCAATCTCCACAACACACGTGGCCACAGAGCTGGCAGTGGAATTCTCTACGAAGGAGAGAGAACCGGTTGTTGCACACTTCGCAGGTCTGGAAGCTCTGGCGGTCGCTGCCTCGGTCCCCAGACTTGAGCTTGATAAACGTCTGCAATCCGAGGCGTCGTCGGCGAATCACGCGCTCGAATTGCATCAACGAAGTCGTCAATAACTCAATCACGTGCTTGGCTTCTGCATTCACATGGGACGAACGGTAGTTGGCCAGCTCCGAAGGACTGTACGACGTCATGGTGCGTTGCTGCTGTTGACCGAACTGCTCTGGAGGCGTCACGGACGCGTATCCGTGCGCAATGATCTTGGTCGATTGAGCGGCGCCTCTAGCTCCGATGCAGTGGACGTTCCTCGTCTGGATGTCGAAGCCTACTGAGATATGATCAAGGCCACGTAGGCCACTGCCCAGCACTGATCTGCTCTGATGTTTCTCCTCAATAGGAGCGAGTTGGTCGTGCACTGATCGAGGCAGCGTCTTGATTACGTGAACAGCGCGTTGTTTCCCCACGAACTGGTGCGTCAGAGTGGCAAGACAAAGCTTCTGCAGACGTTGGTGGCGGTTGCGCAGTCGGCCACGCACGTCGAGCCTTCGCTTGGATTTAAAACGCGTCATACTAACACTGACCAGCACTTTACGCTCTGAATCGTCCTCCTCTTCATCCTCGGGAATACTCGTGTTGTCGAATCTCACTGTCTTGCCTCCTCTTGTAGATTTCTGCGTGAGTCTAGTGTGTCTAATAGGTGCACCGTCGAGCGTCGTAGCATGCGGTTGTAGCAACACTTCACCTTGTCGGACCTTCTTTTTAGGGATAATAGCGCGCATCGAGGCCTCCAAGTCGTGGTTGGTCTTGTGGCTTGTCAACACGTTCAGCACCTCGTTTAAATGACACTCGATCTCGATCGTCGCCACCACGGAGTGCACAAGATCCATGTCGTCTCCTTTGCCATCTCGAGTAGGCAGCAACTCGAATATCTCGACGGCCTCACCGCTTTTAGACTTACGAAGCCAATTCGGTGCCCTGTTCTCGTGGTCCTCTACCGCGGCTTTGAGCTTGGGGAGAGTCGCCAATAGATCAGTGACGATCTCTTGGTCCGACAGCTGAACATTCAAGCCTGAGGCATCCGTGTCGTCCATTCCACCCGTGATAGTAAGTCGTCGTTGCTTGGGGTCGCATTCGAGACGCACCCCGCGAGAACTCTCGCTGCAGCCGCTTTCACTGATCATGCTGCTGGTAGCCCACATCTCGCTCTTCCGACACTTATGCCACGAACAACAAGCACGCGGTTTGACAAACTCAGAGAAAGCAAAAGTGTCGAGTCGGAAGCAGAGCCAGAGTTTGGACTCCCCGGGCCCTGCAAAGCCGCCATTCCACCGCACCGAGCTGTACAGTGGTTGTACATGGACACCATCCTCGTCACGAAGAGCTCAAGCTTCTACAGTACGAAGGACAAAGCTCGAGCCGGTACCAGAGCCCGTACGATCAGCGGGGTGCTCGAAAGCAGTAACGCTGTCCAGGCTGGAGCGGCCCAATTGAGCGAACAACTTCCCTAATGTACCGGTATGCAAAGTGAGGCTCTTCAACACAACCAAGCGACAAAATGGGTCCCATCAGTTCCCGATCTATCCGAGAATCTCGAGATGGGGTCGTTGCTTGAATCGTCGACCGGCTCCTCGACTTCGAAGGTCGAAAACCAAACACCAGCAAAGATTGGTTGGGTTTTCATGCCCATTTGATGCTCGTCGGACCACAATTCAACACGTTCAAAAGAGGTTTGGCTATTTCGATGAGATTACAGTGTACAGTACACTACGCTTAACGATTACTGTACGAACTGGGAATACAAAACGCATTATTGCGCCGATGCAAGGCAAAAAAGCTCGGCGACCAAGAAGAAGAGCTGCGCTTTTCCTGTGGTTGCCAATCACTGATTGGTGTAGAGTGTCTGCTTGGAATTCCTGCATCCCAAAGACGCAGGATACCTGTTTTAAAAAGAGGGGAGTGCAGTGATTTTCGCTGAAACGGCCGGTGTGATTTGCGTAATAACGAGGTGGGACCATCGACTCGATGATCGAGGTATTGTATGGGCACGTTGATTTCCTGTGACGCGGGACATCTTCAAAATTTAAAAAAATGCGCATACAATATGTTGCAAGACCTATTCTTCACACGGATTTTATGCTTTGAAAAGAATCTAATGAAAGCAAACGCCACCAGGAAAGCTGATGTTGTCCTTTGATTTTACCGTAAATGAATTTTAGTTCCTTTCGGCAGAAACTCAGCACTAAACTGGAGAGGGTTGCACCCACTGATTCGCATTTGCAGCTGTATGTTGTGATCGAGCACATGAATCGGTTGAAGAAACGAAGCGAACAGGCAAAATTCTCCAACTTTTAAATTAATACTTCAGCCGTTATCTTTTGAAATAATTCCAATATAATGTCGCCATAAACTGCTTTTCGTAATGACGATTGTTCTTTACTTTGTCTTTCTTCGCAGCTCTCTTCAAATTTGTCGCGCTCCTTACACGCTACGACCTACAGTAGTGGTCTTCAACTTTGGCAGCAGCAATATATTTTTTTTTGATAACACAAGAGCGGATGGAGACATTAGGTATCACGACCGATATTTCTTCCCTGTATCTTCTATCGGTATGCGTCGGAAGAAGGTATGAAATACTGGTGGTAACTTCATTTCTCGTGTTCGCCAATTTATCTAAAATAAACGGTGTATCTGGTCCATTTTTGATTTTTCCGTCTGAATTAGAGCTTTTTATCATCGTTTTTAGCCAATCGATGTTGTAGAGCATGGATTGGCCGTTACCGCTGGAGATGCCCTTTTGCCCATGCCGCATCTCCATCGGTAAGTTTTAACGTTGAGTTTTTATGCTTTTCCACTTTTTTATTTTGCTTTATCGTAAATACCTTATTTTCTTAGGAAACAAACTAGAAAGTACCCTTATTCAATTGCTTTTAACAATGGTTTTTAAATAGCACTTGAATCTCTAAAATTGAAAAAATATTGAGCTGACAACACATCTAAATATATCGTCATTTACTGGTATTATATCCACGAATATCTTAGCTTCCTGACGGCAATAGAGCCTACACCTGACATTTTCCATTGAGCCTTTTATAGTTAGCATCACGGTAAAAATATTCTAGTCTGGTTTACTATTCGGTCGGGCATTGTCAAGGTGCCGTCACTACAGCTCTATTTTCTCACAAAGTAGAAGCAAGTACGAGCAAATCGTAACGTGGTCCGTGGCGGGTTACATGCTGGTTTGGGCATTACCGATTTAGCGACTGCTGTACATTGCAAAGTACTATACATGCAGATCAATATTCACAATTCTGTTCAACCGCCTGCTGTGTTGTGTTAATATAAATTATGATCGCATGGTCTTCTACAAACATTCGCGGCACTAACTGACCACTGCCAGTTTGTCAAAGCTTCAATTTGGCGGAAGTGGATAAATTAACACACGGAGTAGTACCCTAACAAAATGTGTATGCGATGGATTCGTGTTTGCCAACCAGGGGCTCTACTTTAAAGTTGTGAAATCATCTCAAAGTATATGATATAATGTAAATACGGTATGTAAATTGCCATCGAGTTGGATGTACAAATTTAAGTGATAGGTCGTTTCTCATTGATGAGTTTTACAAATATTCTTCAAGGAAGACACAAGGTTTTGCGCTTTAGCCCTTCATTGCTCCACGCGTTAATTATCCATTGGAGCGACATTGAACAAACAAATTAGAATTTTGCATCTGAAGCTCACGGCGATTCTGTTGCATTTTGGCTTTCGACTGAGCGAGTTACAAGATCAACTAGGTTGGTTATTGAGTCCTTGGCATCGGCATTAGCGGTCCTTTAACATTCAAGTTTCTTACTCCCCTGCATTCGTTCTCACATCAGAAAAGTGTCAGGGTCACGGTTCGGAAATAAAAAATCGGTCCTTCTTGTCAACAAGGAAAATGCCACAACGCTCGTCATTTTACATGGCAGTGCAAGTCGCAACCATGGAACAGCTCTTCGTTACGAGAAAGTTCGTAGTGGAAACTGTTCGAATTCTCGTTCCTAATCGGGGATATCTTGAAGAAGCCACCACTTTCGCCGTCGTGAATAACAGCTGAATATTCTTTTAATTGCTCACTTCAGACCCCAAAATGCGACTTTTAATCTCTTCTTAGCAACAATCAACTAATAGAGGTGTTGCTTTGGCCTGGGAAAATAATTCATTTCAACCTATTGAACAGGTTGTCCATCTTCATTTTGTATTGAGATTTAGAGTGGACATGTCTATCTATTAAAGCGAAACCAATCAAAATGCACTAAATTCGCCTGGCACAGCGCTGCGGGATTAGGCTCGTGGATCCTAGCTCGGGCAAAAGTGCTTAGCATAAAGGTGCGCTAAATCCGACCAGTATAAGCTAGCTGCTATACTATGTATCCCCCTATCAACATACATTTGATAAAACCAAGTTGAAGTTTACCGTACTTAAGCGATGTGGTATAGTACTTGCTTATCACATTCTGTCCCAGTTGATGTACCTTCGCAACCGCTCGGTGTCTGCAGCCAATCGCTCTCCGCCAAACACTACAATCACTTTCGCTCTATTGCCATGATGTCCGCATTGCTTCGCGTCGCGGCCCGCCGACCTCTCAGCGCGTCGCTGGCGCCCGCTACTGCGTCGCACCTCAATGGTGTTATTTCCGCGCACCCATTGACTCTCCAGTACCGCGAGATATCGCAGAGCCGCGTTCTACAGAAGCGCAAGGGCGGCGCGTCAGCTTTTGTCGTCAAAACCTCGAGCTGGAACCGCAGCAAAGGCAACAAGAGCCATAACGCGCTTAACACCAAACAGAAGCTCAAGAAGGACACAGCACCTCACCGCACGCACCTCGAGCGCATGCGTGACCTCAAGAGTGCACAGCGCATCAACGAGCGCAACGCCAAGGAGTGGGCGGCACTAGAGCGCAACGACGAGCTCAACCGCGAGCTGGACGACGTTTTCGAGTACCTGAACACGTCAGGCCCAATGGGCGACTACACGTATGAGCCGGAGCCGAGTCTCGAGGACGTCGACCACCTAGATGCGCTTAACAAGCTTAACTCCATTGCCCGCGCCGACCCCGACATCATGAAAGAAGTCGATGAGACACAACGAGCCGTTACTGGCGACACTGTTGAAGTTGAAGGGGATGGGCAAGTGCAACACGAACTCGGAGTCAACGACTACAATTTCCTGCTCAGAGTGTATGCGGTCAAAGGCCTACACAAGGAAGCCAATGCCTTGTTGACCCGGATGGAGAAGAACTTGGAGC